AATACTTTTATCATATTATCAGTACTACGATTAACAAGTTTTCGACTTACGTCTAAATACCCTTGATATTATTATTGTAAAAACATTAAATTGAAATCTAACCATATAACTACAAATTAGATTACTTCATTAACTGCGTTACCTATAAAATAAAAATTCTAAACTTTTTAAATATACCTCGTAGTATTCTTCGAAAACAACTCGTTCAACTCTATGAGGAGCAATAGATATTTTTTCTTATCTTTTTTATTTTAATTGTGCAATTCTATGTTGCCTGTTTGAGCATTAAAGAAAATGCTTAAAAAATTTATAAAGAAATATTAAGATGTATATATATAAGTAACATAAGATATAAATTATATCTTATGTATTTTATTAAATTATAAAATCTAAACACTTTTAACCAAGATTGTATAATAGAAGAAATGACATTATATTTTTTTTATACTTTTCTTTCTGAAAATAATACCTAACGTCGTGTATCTACTTCTGTAACAACTCTTTTAAGGCATCCAATTGAGGCTTATAGCTATAACCCATCAATAAAGTTATAAAAATAATAAAGTATCTAAATTTTCTGAAAACACTGGTAATATATATCGCATGACATATTGCTATTAATTTTGCAAAACAGTTGGGTATCAATAATCCAAAAACAAGATGTATGACATTTTTGTATCATTTTTGGTCATAATTATAATCGTTTACTTATTACTAATAACGAACAACAGTCAAAATATTGAATGTGCAAAGATTCGATAAAGACAAAGATCGTAAAGTAGATCGGAGAGGTGATAACTAAAGTTTTTTGGGTTACACTTAATGTAATTCATATTGTTTAAAAATAATAACAAAAAAATACAACTATTAAATCAACATTAAAAAACTGATTTCTACGTTTTAAATTACTTTTAAATTTAATTATCACTAGGCTTAAAAATACCTTATAAAAAATTTTTATGCATATATTTTATATACTTATGATTATCCAGATTTGTGTTATGATTACTATTCATATTTTCTGTGAAAAGCATGAAAAAAATTAGGTTTTCTAATACTGAATCTCGAGAATACTTATCGAATACAAATAAATACTTAATATAGTTCTGATCATACTGCTTTGAATAAAAACTGCTATATAGCAAAATCAGATCTTTATGTCAGCAATGCTTAGAGTTTACATATGCTATGACACTTGCATTCTCAACGAAAAATTGAAAAATAAACATTCATTTAAACAATATATATAATTATATATATAGTTTATAAACTATATATAAATTTTGAACTTTATGACATTTTTATTTTTAGAAGGGACCACAAAGTTTAAGAATAATGAACTGTATAATTATTTAATATGCTTTATACATCTCTAATATAATGTAAATGCGTTGGTACATTATATGAATACAATAAGTATATAATTACTTGGACAAATTATGTGCTTATTTTCTAATAAGTGAGGTCTCAGTGGACAAACTACAAGCTATGTATCTATATCTGTTAAATGTGATTCACATACCATTTGTAACTATCTTCCAGATCACCGCTTGGGAACCACCGATTTATACTAAAAAATAATCAAAGTATATAGTATATTTATTTTTGAAATAAACATGTGTCCTTGACCATATTCTATATTTAATGTTATTTAAATATTTAAATAAAATTGTTGTATATAACTTTAACCATTTTGTTTAATTATTTTAAAAACTTTTAACAATGTTTGAATGCATAGATTCGATGTATTTTAAGTATTAGTAGAAAAATTAGATCTTTATTAAAAGCAAAATAATTCAAAATGCATTTTTAATAATTTATTTATTTAATAATAAATAAATGTGATAATTTTTTGTCATAAAAACTTATAATAGGTGAAATAAGGGGGATGATGTACTGCTGATGTACTGCGTTGACAGATAAGGTACCTTTTTATGCAGAGTCACATATACCTATATGTAAATTAATAATAGATTAATTTGCATATAAATACTGTTAAATTTTATTCAAAAGTTGAATAATATAAAAATTAAGTAACACGGGAGGGGGAGACTCTTGTAAAAAAGTATTTTTGAAAAGTCCGGATAATTACTCATTTATAATTTATAAAAAATTATAAATGTATAAATATATACAAACTTATTTAAATATATATCTATTTTTTTTTTTACTTTGCATTCGCTTCTTATTACCTCATATATTTAATAAATACAATATATTAAACAATTTAATTTTTTTTATTTTATTTTTACATTTGTTGTTATATTTAAATTGAAATATATATAAATTTTAATATAATCTCTTACATAAATTATAAATAACAATAATATTTTATTTATATATAAATTTTAATTTATCACATTTAAATTAACTTTTCATTATTTATGGTTTACTTTTCCTTCCGATATTTTAAATAGAAATTTATTGCCAAAAATCTTAAATAAGATAGAAACCATCAGATAACTTTTATACATATACCATTTATTATTTATACATACAATTCAATTTTCACCCAAGTTCTAATTTTTATTACAAAGCTGGCCGAACACAAGTACTGCAGACGTGAACAGAAGGCCCTCGTAAAATATCTTAATTTATGTTAAATATTGAAAATTGATTACTTATTTGTACATTTATTATCGTTTCATGTAGATAATTTTATGTCCGTAGTTTCTGTTGGTAGTAAATTGCAGTATACAGAAACCAAAATTTGGTAAAGTTTTTATGTAAAAACATTTATTAACATATATGGTATTTACTAGGGTACACATACTATAAAAGCAGGTAGTTATACCATCGTACGCACAGTTCTACTTACATTGGGGCAGGCCGACCCGGCCCGTCCATAAGCACTAGTAATTTATATGTGGTTAACCAGAGCAAACCAAACGAAGTCATAAAAATAAATTTTACTGAACGGAAATATTTCATATTTTATTATTTTTAATTTTATTAAATTTTCTTATTGTGTATATTTGTGCAGATATAAAAGAAGAAAAATATTGTGTTAAAAATCCGTAGTAATTTTACATAAATTGTTAGGTTTTTTTTAATTGAAAATCGTATTTTTTAAATAAAATAAATTTAATAAAATCTTTTTATTAACTTTAAAAATTGTAAAATATAATGGTTTATACTATTTTTGTACAAAACCTCAATATCAATCTTTCAAAGTGGGATGTAATGAAAGAAGTGGAATATACTAAACTTCTCTTTTCTAAGTGCAAATTAATTTATGACATTTGGTACTATATAACATATTCAACTATTATCATCTATTTGTCGCCTTACTCTATTTAGATTTAATTCTAAACTGCTGCAGTAGCTTACTTGCATTATCTATAGATATGTGGGTTCCCCACTTTTGCAATATAATTTATGTTATTATTGTTTAATAATGTCTATATTAGCGTAGTGTACAATTGCTAAATTATATATTGTTAACACATTGTTTTTTATAAAATAGAATAATGGTTAAGTTAAAATGTTACTTAATGTTCTCATCCTCCAAAGGCAAATAGCCCGCCAGATATGAACTTTCTTCGAAAATTGTTCAATTCCAATGGTAGAGACTTATTAATCGACAGTATTTTTGTTATTGGAGTCTTTACTTTTCCCTCTATATCATTGAAACATTCATTTTAGTTTCTGGTCAAATCACGCATTCGTATTTTTTATTAGGTTTGGTAATTTATCTCAAATTTTGGATGTATCGAAAATCTTTTTTGCAGACCATTTTTTACTACCTGTATAGTAATACATCATTCACTATAGAATTAGTAGGTCTATTATTATTATTATTGCTATGTTGAGGCTAGTTGAGGCAGTGCACCTGAGCACTATTACTCTATATTAACTGCGAGGTTTCTTCAAAATCCCTCTTTGCGCCTTGACTGGATTATTATTATTAGGTCTATACACGAAAAATGTTCTTCAATACGGGGCATGAGGAGCAGTAAAATCGAACATATTATTTGACAGTGTAGTTTCTTTTCGATACATGCGTTATTAAATATATATTTATTAATATTATTTGTTATTCATAATTGGACAGCATTTGAACATTCTATCATTTCTCTAATATTTGTTTGGACAGGTTATTAGCACATACTGCTTTTAGTTAATTAAGACTGTTGATTAATCACAGCTTTTTTAAAGAAAATTTATTTTTACAGAAATTATTGTGATAAAAAATCCGTTTCTTCTATATATTACTATATTTTATCTTATTAATATATCTCCTACATGTATACTTCAATATCAATTACTTTTTTAAATTCTACTAAAAGCTATGAGATTTCCAGTAGGGCACAATTTTAATAAAATTACTACTACGTTTGTAATTGTGTTATTTTTCTAGAGAAACAATTCAAAAGGAATACTTCATTATTACAAAAAATGTGTCACAAACTACAACCGAACAAAGAAATCAATTTTGTTGGCTTTATCTGTTTCATATGATATATTTTAAAAAGGATGGCTACTATTTTCACAGGTTACAAAGGATGTAAAGTCATACAAAAAGCAAACGACGACTTGCCCCTTTGCATATTGTAAATAAAATATTTTCATGTGCACACTATCAAAACCAGATATGAAAAGTTAGATAGATACAGGTTACATTGATGTTGAGTAAATTTATTTCATGGCAGCGCCTGCTGGTGTTATGGATTCCTTCCAGTTTTATTTTAATTACATATGCATTTGGGATGTCCTGTATACATACATACAGCGAAATTACATACAATTTTAAACTTATATTCATATATATTTGTGGTAGCATGTATGTGTGTATGTGACTGACAGTTTTTATATATACATCAGGGTTTGCTCAGATTCCATATTGCAAAATTGATGATGCAGCGAAAGAATTGTTTAAATATTAATTTTACTACCATGTCAAATAAAAAAAACATTGTTCTTTTTTTTCCGACATATTTCGTCAATATTAAATTTTTTTATAAATATTTAATAACAATTTTTTTTAATCCTTTTAATTTCAGCACATGGTGCAAGCCGGTGTTGCGCCATATCCTGGTGCACCGACTGGATATCCACCCGCAGCAGCGCAAGTAGGAGCCACTGCTGCAGATAGCTTACCAATAGCCGTAACTGTCAAAGCAGAACCAGTAGCACAGATGAAAGCAGATGTTGGAGTTGCATCCGGCGCTGCTACCACAGCAGCAGCAGCAGCTGCAGCCGCTCAAATGTACATGCAACAAAAGAAGGTAAATTTTGCATAGGCCTACAATTTTCATAGTTAATAAATAATAATGGCTGTGTATCTAATGGTGTAGGTAAAACAATTAGTATACGCATCATAAAAGTATATAGTATGTATATGTATTATGGAACATTATTTCGTACATGTACTTATATCATATTGCACTATTTTTAATGGCATGTGTGTGTGTGTTTGAACACATTTGTTTATACGTATATGTGTATATAAAAATTATAATTCTTAGTTTTAACCACCAACCTTCATAATCTATTAGCATTATATTTACATATATATATATATACCTCATTACAAAATTTTTTTTTTATGCGATTTATTGTATAACTAAAAACATTTCAAACCTTTAATTTTCACATAATTATTTATTTAATGCATTTTAATATTTATTAAACTATTTAACATATAATTAAATAATGGCTTATTTATTTTTATAACGATTTTTCACTTTGCATAATTTTATCAATTATGTCCAGGGGTTATTTTTGTAGTATTTATTGCAAAATTGTAAATAAATTAATTTATTATATATTTATTTAAAATATTTATAAAAATTTTGATACTTTCAATCATGAGTACTGAAATTAATAAATTAAATTTCTTAATTTATATTAGAAAATACATTTTTTTGTAAGATAAATAGAGGGGATGAGTCACAAAGGTTTCTTCAATACTTAATTCACTCAAAACGTGCATGTCTTTTTTACAAACGTATGATAAATATATATATTTTTCTGTATACATATATATAATGTTTATTTTTAGTATACATATTTTAAATAATATTAAATAAATTATTAATATAGAATTTATAGAATTTTATTATATGAAATTCAGTAATCTATAGCGTACAAAATCCATATAATTAGATAAAATATAAAATCTAATATAAAAGATAAAGAATTTATAGAATTTTCTTATATGAAATTCGGTAATCTATAGCGAGTGATGTAGCGAAACTGATGTAATTAGATAAAATATAGTTTTATTATATATTTCAAAATCAGCATAATATAAAACAATAGCTTATATTAAATTCATATAAATATATTAATATAATAATGTTCATATTTTATATTAATTCATAATAATTGTATTTATAAATTTATACAAGAAATATTATATATAAAAACGACTTTTATGAATACCAACTATTAATTAAATTGTTATTGATTATGGAGCTGAGCTACTTCTTTTGTATTGAGAGAAAAAAAAATCCTTATTTTTAGGGTTAACATAGGTTAACATATGTATATTTTTACAATAAATCTACGTTTTCCAAAGTCCTTGGTCCTTTTAAGGATACTGAAATTAGTTTTGTTTTTTATATTACTCAATTTCTTATTGAATAAATAGCAGTGCTGTAAATAGGCCGACTAGGTTTCTTTCTAATTTCAATCTTGAGTATTTGTTACTCAGATTTAATCTAGATTGTTCTACTACCCATTCAGAACGTTTATTACAAGTTTCTTTTTTAGGAGGCTTTATGCATGCAGTCATCAAATGTAAAATACTTTTTGTTAAATTATTAATCGTTTCTGCTTTTGCATTGCTCAATAATTGAGATTATGGTAAGAAAAGGTAATAAAAAGATTTAAGAACTACTAAATAGTAGAAATTACTATTTATTTTTGTTACTGCTCTTAAGAACTACAATAAAGTAACTGACTTCAAAAGTTTAATAAAAAACAAGATTTAAAACGTTCGGAACCATATCATCGAATTTATCCTGTAATAATATTATTATTTGACTCCACTTCGTACTTAAATTGAAACACTGAATCAACAAAATGTCTAGACTGGATTATAGTGTTGTAGTCTAATGTCAATAAGTCTTAAAAGAAGGTAACCTTCCTTACTAATAGTATGAATTTTATTCTACCTATAAAAATATAACTGAATTTTTTTAATAATAATAATCAATCTATAATAAATGCTACTCATCGTCGTCCATTTCAAAATTTAACAAAAGATTTCAAAAAGTTTTCTTTCCGCTTATGGATGTGTAATCTGTTTGTAGTCTTAATGATTGTATAGATATTCTGTGATTTCCTGGTGTATTGATCAATGTCTTATGCTCCGCAAATAAAGTTCTGCAATTTAAAAAATCTTGCTCTCGTTTTCTTTGCTTTTTGAATATTCTAAACTATATATCTCATATAGTTATTCATGATTTCTATTAAAATTTCAATATTAATGTATTATATCTATCACAGCTGCAAGCACATTTTAATTTTTTGTTTTCAGTTTAATTTATTATGCATGCGAAGTATATCTAATTAATTGTCTTCTATCTCTCTATCGCCGAGGCCACTTATATGTAAGGTTACAAAGAGTTTAAAACGGGCAGATTTTAAATTATCTGCTTAAGACTACTATAAATTTCTAAAATGTTTCTATTTGTCAATAGAAGAGGGTTCTATTCTTCAGAAATAATTCTAACTGTAAGGGTTTTGTCTATAAATTAAACGTGTATTAGTTGTCCTATATTATGACAATATATATCTGTAAGATTAGAGTACTACAGTTTTTTACTGCTCTGAAAAATATATAATTAGATAATAGATAATATTTTTTTTAATAATATTAGATAATATTTTCAATCACTACTATATGACTACGTAGGTATCATTGGCATAATATAAAAATGCTGTTTTTATTTAGTTCTTTTCAAATTTTCAATTATAAGAACTATGTCAAAATCATATTTTTAATTTTATTTTATTAATAATTCTGTGCAATGCTAAATTCTTTGTTTTAATTTTTCAATGATTTTGGTTCTCTGGCAAAATTAGGGTAAATTCCATAATTGAACATTTTAAGTAAATAAAAAATGTTTTTATTTAAAAAGATTTGAATTTTTTGTTCTCCGTAAACTTACTACGAATGAAGAAATAACTATTTTTGTCTTAGCCGATGTCCTCTCTCTAATTCCCCTCTTTTTTTTACAAAACATTCCATTTTTTAAATATTTCTTAAAACAGTAGGAGGGTTTTTTTTAGGAGGATTTTAAGTAATATTTGTAAAATATCCTTCAAATTGATAGGACGGAAAAATATTTAAAGAATTCTCGGCATAACGTGGGATTTTTCAAATATTTCTTAAAATAGTTTATTTTCTACAAGACGATTTTAAGAAATATTTGAGGAGTCGTTCATTTGATAAGGAAAGCAAAAAATTTAGAAAAAGATGTCAAAGATTAAAATATTTATCTATTCATTCGTAGGAACTTTATTGAAACACAAAAGTCTTTTCTCTTAAAATAAAATACTTGTGCGACCCTTTAAACCTAAAATTTTGCTTTTTAAACCCTTATTGTCAGATCTATTTGTCTAAAAGAAATATTGGTGGCAAAATTGAACACAGCTATCGAAATTAACTTTAAACTCAAAAAAAGGAAAAGCCTTCTTTTTAATCACGGAATATTATTTTTAAATATATAGTTGACGAGTCATTGCTAATATATATATTTGTAGAATCTAAATTGTATCTGATATAGTTTTTTCAATTCCTTTGTATCGAATATTATATACATATATATAAATAGAGCAATAATCACTGAATATCTCTCCAAGGAAAAGTTAACAATTACATATACATATCTTTGAGATTATATATATGTTATGATCATCTTTGTAATATAATCATTTTAGTCCGTTTAAACTATAAAACATTTTATAGTTAAATTTTAGTTTATACAAATATATAGATAGATTTATTAAAGTTAGACTAGCGTTTTTTTAAAATTTTGACTACTTTTTGGTAAATATTTTTTTCTTACTGTGATTATTGAAGAAATGAACGAAGAGTTGAATAAACAACAACAACTATGTAATATATTTTAATTTATTGCAAAAATTACTCGCATGCAAAAATGTTAGTATCACTTCAGCTAACTGGTGTCGGTTTAAAATCAAATAATTTCAAGTCATAAATATTAATTTAAAAAAAAAAAAAGCAAATAATTTTTTTTATCTAAGTTAATAGAATCAATTTGTAATCAAGAAGATATTTTCAACTAAAGTACAAAATAATTTATCATAGACAAATCTGCCAACACAAACACAATATAATGGCGCCACAAACACACATGCAGTAGCAACAGCAGCAGCGTCTACAGTTACTACCGCTCCAACAGTATTAGGCATTCCTGCGCAACAACACAATGGCGGCTTGGCCATTGCATTGACAAATGGTCTGACGAATGGCATTGAACACCAACAAAAACAGCAAGCGCAGGCACAACAACAACAACAGCAGCAGCAGCAACAGCAACAAAATGTTGTTAGCATAGTGAGTTGCTTGAGATTGCATATCATTGCAAATTACAAAAATAAAAAAATACTTTAGCAAATTACTAGTAAATACTTTTTTAACGTTCGCTACAGTTTTTGTGTCCACTAGCGCTACGCAATATTGCATCCCATTCGTAATTGCATAGTTTTAGGGTGATTTGGTATGGAATGAAATGGAATGACATTATTTTAATCTCGTTAATGTATTTTTATTTAGAAGTAGTTGTCTGAAAAATAAATTTTTATATTAAACGTGGGTTTAAAAAAAATTGAAAATAATTATATATAATTTAATTGGAAAAAAAATATTATTTTATTAATAATGAGGTTTTTTGAACAGTACGTTTTGCTTTTTTTAAATTATAATTTAAAAAATTATTACTTGTTTTAAATTAAAAAAAAATCCATATATTATTTAATCTTATTAAAATGAAATATACATTAAATTGAAAATAAATGAATTAATAAATAATGATATAAATTAATAAAAATTAATAGTTAATTTAATATTCGCGTCAATTTAGACATAATTTTTTTTTTTTTTTTTTTTGTTTTTTGATTTCTTAAAATATTTACATTTACGATTTAATAAATTCACAAAATTAATTTTTTTTTTAACGGAAATTTTATTAAACCAGAATTGTGTTTTTGAAATTATTTTTTCAAAATATTTAGCCTATAAGAGCTAAAAACCACAATACAAACCATTAGCTGGTTTGAAAAAATAATGCATTTGTTATGAGCATAATGATTACATTTCATATTTTGTTTAATTTGAACAATTTATTGATTAAACTTTAGACAGAAATCGGCATATCACCCACAGTTCGACAGCTACTTCTGAAATTTTAATTTCATTAAAAATGTTGTTGTAATGTAAAATTGTTATCGTATTTGGCTTCCAACTACCACACACTTTGTATAGCATTCTACCACATAATTATAAAATAAAAATTTAGTAATTTTTTTTCGGAAATGTTATTAAAAATAATAATTTCAAAACCATATATTTACATATATATTAACATAGTACGTATGAGCATAGAAAATTTAACTGCTGTTTAGTTTTTGCATCGATAATTGTTGGCATTACTTAATGAAAACGGTTGATTTACGGTGGCTGCAACATGTTGTGTTTTATTTTTTTTTTTACTTAAGGTTGTGGATTATACACATTTTTACGAAAATAATTTTTTTAAACTAAATATATGCTATATGCTACCTCTACGTATGTAAAATTAGTAAATACCTTAATATTTCAATTAAAATAAAAAGAAATTAATATCTACAAAATTGCATACACATATTGATGATAATATCTTAACTATACATGTATACCGTTGAGTTTATTTATATAATAATAATGATTGTAATATTATTTATCTAAAAATGTTTTCTTTCTCATCTGCATATAAGGCATGTTTGTTGCTCTTGATTTAAAAATTATATACATTTATATCAACATATATCAATTTATATAAGCCAATAAATTAGTATTTTATATGTAAATATATATATATATGACGATTGTTGGGTATGTTTCATCAACTAACTTTTTCAAACAAAAAAAAAAATAATATTTATAGCATCTTATCAGCATTGTTCTTCTACATTGCAACATAAAACAGTTATATCTTAAAATATGTATAAACCTGCCTTTTTGTTTTATCGTTTTTGTTTTATTGTTGTTTTTTTTTTTTAATCTGTTCTAAACACCTTTTTATACTGAATCTAGCATTCAACTTGTTTAATTAAGGTCCTATAATTGCCTGCGGTTTGAAATCGTAAAATCCCTATATGCAAGCCTATTGTGTATTTCTGTGCACATATGCGAATACATATGTACTCAATTAACAATTTGTTTGACTGTGGTTTTTGTACATTTATATATAAGTTACATTCCCATGATATATACATAATCTGCACACACATACACACACACACACACATTACGTACACAGAAATAAAATGGTAAATAAAAAATACACTAAATCTATTGTTATCTTTTATTAGCACGTACTCACGAATTCCTAGAGTAAATATTTTTCATTTGCCACAGGACAAAACGACAAAATGTTTTGTATTGTTTCGGTCGGTCCTTAATTTTTGTTTTTTAAGTATGGATTTTTTAAAAACAATAGAGTTGCCATATTTTTGCTTTATTTATACATTTTTTTCGTTTCTGCTGTAATTCTGCGCTTTTTCTTTTTTTTTTCTCTTTTTACTACAACAAAACGTTGATATTACAACAGTTACATCGAAGCATATATTCTCCTACAACGGATAACAGACGCTTAACGTTGTCACCTATACCACACACACAGAGTGCTAGACAAATTTGTTACATACACCATACACTTGAAAAAAAAAATAGATTTTTATTTGTATTTTCTTTACATGCAGAAAATAAAAAATCTAATACAAGCACGTTACGTTTGGTACGCTGAAAATAGTCATTAAAATTAATATATTTTGTTTGAATTTTTTCCTATTGTTTCCTTGTTTCCCGTGCGTACGTATGTTGCAACTTTGTTGTGTACTTTTGTGATCACAGTGTATTTGTATGTGTATATGAAGCATATGTACTATATTATATTTGTTTATATACTTAATATGAATTATTGTTAGTGTATGCATTTTATTGATACAATAAATTACGTATGTTATAAATATTGTATCAGTTCATATATTATATCCGTATGAATGAGTATGTTAGGCAGCAAGCATAAAATATTTATATCGAAATCCATGTTATCATTTTTTAATAAGAGTTTATTCTCCTATACATAATATATTAAAATCACTTAAGCAAATATATTTTTACTATTTTATGTGGCAGGATTAAAATCAGTTGGATGTCATCAGAATAATTAATAAATAAATTTAGTGGAATGCAAATGAAAAAATTTAATCACTAAGTTTTATAGTCACAATGGCATTGGCATTGAAAAGCTTTACATTTTTCACATTATTTTAATTAAAAAGTTCGCATTGAAATAATATCTTTTTAATAATAACTTTTTTATTTATAAGAATTCAAATCACATTTAAAATTCATTTTAATAATTATTAAATTGGTTTTTAACGTCCATTTTGACGAAAGAAACTTAATTCTTAATATAAAAAGCAGACATTTTCTTTTGTAAGCAAATCACAAAAGAACAACTGCTTATTTTAAAAAATAACATATGAAACAACAACACTGCTGGCTTATTTAGTCCAACCTTTTTGAAATCGCTTAATTAATAAACAGCTTAAATCGTATGGTTGCCAAGACTAAAAAATTCGTCTATTGTGAACGATTTTTGCAAGAACATACAAAATTTCCAGTTAACTGTTAACAAATGATTTCGTTAATTCTTCGTATTTTGTGTCTTCATTGTTTGTAACAAATACATTACTTTTTCTATTTATTATTTACTGTTGAAAGGCATGAAAATTCATATTTTACTCACAATCATGTAAAGAAAATATATTCTTACCAATAATTGCAAAGAATTATTATTTATTTTTGAAATTTTTTTACGTGTTTTGCTAATATATATAAGCCTAACAAAATTTCCAAAAATTAGTCAGCCAAAAATTTAATTTATTAATGAAATAATAAAATCTTAAAGATTATAATGTTTTATTTCACGTTCATAGTGGCGTATGAGCAACTTTCAAGATTCGAATGATTTTTTTTTTTTTTTTTTTTCAAGATTTGAATGATAATTAATCACCATATAATACTACTTCAACGTATTAGAACGAAAAATCTTTGACTTTCAGTAAACCTGCAGTTTAAGTGATCACTGAAGTGCTAATATCCCAGTGACTTATTATGCCCAAACATCACTGTAAACGCATATCAATAAGCAAACTGTGCAGAAATTGTTAGACGAAGTATAACATTTTCCAATGTATAGAAAATGTTTCTTTACTGACATATAAAAGATAGCGAAAGTAGACTTTCGATGTTTCTTAAATTCTTTTGAAAACAATAGGTAAGGTAGTTTATTTCCTGCTGACAACTTTAATGACAATAGTTATCTCCATATATAAGTGTAGATGTCGAAGTTCGCGTGAACAAGCACCTTTTTAACCTTTCCTATGATGCTCGAGCAGTTAAAGTATAGTCGTAACCAAACATTTGGGTCGAACAGAATAATATTTGAAGCACTAAAGTATAATAGATAAATGTAAAAGACATCTAGACCTCAAAAAATGTTAATATTTGATTAAAGTGTATGAAACTGTTTAAAATATGAACAAAATGCAAAATAAAAACTTTTAAAGTTATTTCGTAATATCTAGCATACATGTTATACTATATAGGTGATTTTTTTTTCAAGACGTAGAATTTTGAAATTTAAAGAAATCAAATTCTTATTAAGCAAATGAATCACATATTTGTATGTAAATGAGTAACACATGATAGTAACATTTGACTTCTAACCAATAAATATGAAATAATATTCGTTGTAGAGAAATAGAGAGGTTTCGAAAAGTAGTGAACTACAACAACAAAAAATCTCTCTTGATATTTTATTTTTATTAAACTTTTGGCGGACTATACATTTGTTATTGAAACATTTTATAAAATGAAGAAGTAAATACTTATTTGGAGATTTTGGAAAGAATAGGCAACTGTTAAATGCAAAATACATATAGCTTTCTTCATAAAAATTTAATACCTACATCTATTGGTGTTAATTTGTTAAAAAGACAGTAGTTTTAAAAACTAGAAAAATATTTTAAGAAATGGACTCATATTTTAAATTCAAATGTTAATTTGATAAAACTTAAACATTTATCAGATTCAAATAAATTAATTTATATATTTCAAATGTTATATTGTTTATAAACTACTTTATTAAATTGAATTTATATCAGTTACAAACTAAACTACTTCACTTCACTTATGCATGCAATTAGTGCTCAACTTAGATGAAATATATACATTAAAATAAACAAATGTCACAGTGATATCTAAAAGCATCTCAAAATTATGCAAAT